AGGTAACCACAGAACTGTCTTCTAACCAATTTTCTTCTGACTGTCTTCTAAACAATTTTATTTTTTCTGTTCTAACTTAGAATAATTAATGGCAGGAGGGGCGCTGCGAGCGAGCGAGTGGAGTGCTAGGCTGGCGAGACCAGGGGCAAGGGGCTCCGAGGAGCCCGCGGGTCGGCCGCGGCCAGGCTGGGAACTCCGGCATCCGGTATCCTCCGCCACCCGCCTAGCGCCGCGGCAGGCGAGTGCCCCTCCAGTTGGGAGCGCTCGGCCTCCGCGACCCTCACTGGTCGATAACCAATAACAGCAAAACGACAGCTCTGTGGTTAGCGCGGGAAGTGGGGCGAGGGGGCGTGTAGGAGCGGGAATCTGGTGCGAAGGGGACTTCGCTTGCAAAGCATGTAAGCAAAGGCAGAGAGGAATTGTCCTTATTGAAGAACTTTGGCGGTGGGGGGAGACCTTGGCCCCCGCCGCTGTCCCCATGAACTCTGCCCCTCTGCGGTGTTTAGAGAGCATCTACTCATTAAAAAGAAAAGAGGAAATGGCCCAGATCCCTTGAGGTATAAAACTGTGGTTCAAATACTGTCTACATGTTTGACATGCTTACAAACTTTTGCATCTTTAAACTGGTGAATTGAGTGACTCAGACAATGCGTAGCCCCCAAAGTTTCAATTACAGCAACATGAAAGAGTTGGGGGAGGGATCCTGAAGTATCCGAATGCTTAATTGCTTCTGGACTTCAGTTCACCTTAAAATGACATAGTTTTAATCTCATCCTGTTAGGAAGCAGCTTACTAGTGTAATATAAATGTCCAGAATAGGAATAATATTTAAGCAGAACAGAAATTTTACTTAATTTTCCAAGATGTCCTTAATATCAAAATTAATTACCTGAACACCTGCCCACTAAACTTTCACCAGAGCATCTCGGATACTCCCTGCATGTTTATTCACTTAGCAATTTCAGGTAAGCCATCAGATCACTGGTTTCTATATGATTTTAGACCACCGTCACCCCAGGTCAACTTGCAACTTTTGAAAAGCTTTTGATTTCACTTATTTCTCAGTTTTTCTTTTAATCTCATATGATGGGGCACCTACCCAAAGAAAACACTAAGTTTAGGTTAAAGCAAAACCGGCAGTTAGACACACATCAGGCTCACTTTTCCTAAAACGAATGAATATTCTCAGAAACTAACAGGATGGTATGTTTTTATTCACCCAAGTTAAGTTTTCCATTATGAGAGTCTATGCAATAAACAATAGGGTTTTGTGGAAAGAAAATTCTGGTCATAACCTGTTCTTCCTTTCTTGTCCTTTTGCAGATTCGTTCATTCAACAAATGTGTTTTGAGCACCTGCTACTTTACTTGACAGGAACTGTTCTAGGAACTTGGAATACTTCAGTAAACAAAGCAAGGAATGCTGCTTTCATGTTGCATTACATTTTAATCAGTGAATTATATTTTTTTCAAACTGTTCACAAACAACAGACAGAAGGAGATTGCTAACGACAAAAATAGCAAACTAGAGCTTTTCACACTTTCGTACACATGTCCTCTGCACCAGGTTTAGTTAGTTTCAACATTTTCCTCACTCATCTACTTTTAGAAGTTCAAAACAA